GGTATTTACGTTGATGATGGACTGATAATATCAAATGAAAATAAAACAAATATAGGAAATAATAGAAAAATTAAACGAAAACTTTATAACAAAAACATGGAAGAAACCAGATAGGTTTCTTGGTCAAAATCTAAAAATAATGAATGACGAATTAAAACTATATCAAAACGATTTAATTGAAAAAATAATCCTGAAATTTAACATGAACGATGCGAAAGAAACAAACATACCATTAAGTATGAATAATTTCTCATTTCAAGAAGCTGTAGGTTATTTATTATACTTAGCTAATAAAATGAGACCAAACATTAGTTTCGCAATAATTGATTTGTTTATATCTATAAAGAATTTTGAATTGAAAAGTGGATATGAAACAATTTTTTGTTGCTTCATGGAAAACGTAGCTGGAAGGCATCTCACGAAAGGACTCGTTAATTACGGTTTCCCGAAACGTGTCTGTCATCCGTGGGACGATACGGAACCTGGGCTGGTTCGGGTGGTTGTGGGAGTCGAACTTAATAATCCCGCGGGCTCGGACCAACCCGATCCCGTACCGTTGATATCGGGTTCGCGGCAACGCGCGCCGTTCCGGCTGCGAAATACGACCCTTTTATGTAGCGGAGGCGGGCTGGCGCAAACAAGTCAAAGCCGTATTAACATACCTGCGGCCGCGGGCTAAACCTGCTCGCGCCGCGTCCCGTCAAACGATTCCCGTAGGGTACGCTTCAAACCATTTTTGACGTATACGAAACGCGTTCAATGTAGAAAGCTTTAGGCCAAAAAGATAAACCCATACCAACTGGAACGACGTAAAGTTTTAATTTTTTTTCTTTTATAAACCATGATTTAAGATACTTATTAGATTATAAAAAGTAGTTCAATATCGTGACCATTCTATGCCAAACAGTTATGACATAGGGTATTTTCAAATAATGATTTTAGCACATCAAGCACTCTTTGTAGCAAGATCATTGTACTGGTGCATGATTTAAAATCACTATCTCGTTAAAGTTTTCTGCTTGAAATCTATACGAAGTTACCCCCCAACATTTTCCAGCCTTTTATTTGAACCTTTTACATTACTTGTTGTCAATGTTGATTAAAAATGGATGAATAACAATGTATGGCTTCAATTAGTTCAATTGTGAAAATTTGTGTAATATTAAAAAACCAAAAGACTGAATGAAAAAAAGAATAGAGACTACATAAGGCATGTATTTCGAGACGTGACCCAGAAATACACTAAAACCTATTGATGAAATTCCGCGTTGAAGATGATTTATGTTATAAAAATTATTTAAGAATGAGTTATTTCAGCTTAAAGCAGTCTTGAATACCGAATACGAAGGCAGAAGTAAGACACTGCTTGGAGCAGTCAGATGAAAAACATGGATGATAGATGAAATTCTACAAATGATGCAACAACGAAGAGATACACCTAAGTATTTGGAGATCCACAAGCAAATACAAAGAAAGATGGGAAGCTAAAGAGAAGAAATTACAGGAGGACTGTCAAGAAATAACAGAAAAAATATTATGGTATTAATATCTATAAACAGGTTAAAGAAACAGTTGGTCTGCTCAAAGCCAGAACAAACAATATGTAAGTAATTGCATGAGTTATTGCATGCTGAGTTATTCCAAGACGCACGACCACATCGGACGACTGGACATCTATTTCCAGTCAGGTTCTGCCATCACTGCTGAAGAAGTAAACCAAAGTAAACCAGACTCCTCCGTTGCTACGTGTTTTCTGTCTTGCTGTATGGAGTAGAATCATGGACCATGACCGAAGTAACTACCAAACAATTACGAACTTTTGAAATGTATCTAATGAAGAAATCTGTCGAAGAATGAAGAAAGTCATCGAATTAATAACTACGGCAAAAGCTCGCAAACGTGAGTACCTCGGTCATATAATGAGGAGCGAGAGAAGATATATATGGTTTAGCTAATTCCATTATGAAAATTAAATTTTACATGTTTTTCTCACGTCACTTCTTTTATAACTAGTGATGTAATGATTTCATTACCTAACTACAAATTGACATCTGTCACTAATAGAATAAGTCAAGTTTTCAATAAAAATTGCTTTTTTAATAGAATTAGATAAAATTTTGTACTTAACAAGTCATGAAACGGCTAATTTTGTTTAACTAACGTAATTTGCAAAACTCGCCCGCTTTGCTCGCTCGTTTTGGCAAATATTACGTTCGTCAAACAAAATTAGTCTTTTCATAACTGGTTACGTAAATAACTATTTCTACAAAACATATTGTAGGGGAAGATTCTTGGGAAACGTGGTGTGGGCCGACGGAGAAATTCATGACACAAGAATATTTGTGATTTCGAACAACTATCATGTGCAGCACAGAACAAGGTTGTGATAGCCAGAATGATCGCCAACATCCGGACCAGATAAGGACTATAAGAAGAAGTACAAGGTTGTGAAAAATCTTGGCTAATAAGAAATTAGTCCAACGAATGGAATGGATAGAATCTGACATCCTTGTGGTTCCTTGCAGCAACGAATCATTATATGTTTTCATTACATGACATTATATGGTTTCAGCCTTTTGCCTTTACCTTTTGCTCTTTATTAATTGAACTTAAATGAAACAATTATTCCGTGAATGTTGTTTGTTGAGTAAGGTTAGTTTTCTTTTGTAATCTCAACTATATCGCGAAGAAATGTTGAGCGTCGTACATGATTCGGCAAGAGCGTCGTAACGAATCGGTATCCATAGAAGTTCGGAAAGAACAGCTGCCGAGGGATTCATTTTATGGTGAAAAGGAAGGTTTATTGTATGGTCCTGGATTTGCAGAATAGCAGGCAAGTATTTGGAAATTGTAAAAAGTCAGTTTTTACTACTCGAAACTTTAAACGCAATTTTCTCAAATTGTTTTTTGTATCAATTTTGTATTTTTTTTGTATTTCTGGCGAATCACTCCGTATCCACATCAATCTGCTTTGAGTTAGGTCATTATATAAAACACATTTTGTGAACATGGTTTATGATATTAATTTGTCAAGACAAATATATAACTACAAGGATGGGCAACAAACCAAAATTAATACATATGTAATACAGTTACATAATATCATAATAGTTATTTATATAGTGGGCTAGAAACATAATTACAGTACGAGTGTGGAGAATTGTACGACGAGGTCGTAGACCAATCACACGAGTACTGTAATTATGCTCTAGCCCACGTGTGATATACAGCATTTTATCTACGACTGCTAAAAATTACTAAAAAATCAATTTCTTTAGAAAAATCTATTTGACATTTATAAAAAATAAAAATATTTTGAAATGATTGTTGACAATTTTGAATTGTCAGTTTCAACAACATGTTTACTCATCTGGAATAAGTGTTTTGAAATGTAAAAACATAACAATTAATGTTTATAATAAATAGTATTGTTTCTCTGTAAGTAGATAGCACTTTTTCTTTTGTATTGTTGCTCGTTTCAATAAATTAAGTCTGTTCTGATTAGGCTAAAAATGCGTTACGTAATGAAACCAGTGCGGTAATGAACTTCATTACGTAACTCAAATCACCTCAAATGAGTGCGATAATGATGACTTATCCAAGCAGTCGTAGATAAAAGATAATATCGATACAAGTCTTTAGGAAATATCGATAAAATCGCTTCAGTAACGAAATTTAAGATCCCGATTTGCTTAATTTATTGTCGTGGTTATGAAGATAGTTAATACCGAAATTGGTTTGAGTAAAATAAAACAAATAAATATTTCCCATTAATTTTTGTTGTCAATTTTTTACAATGGTGAATTCGTCCGAACGAGAAAGAATCAAAATTTTGTGAATATGTTGTGTATCCTTATAAACATAAAACTTCATTATTTTGTAACATATCAAATTCCTAGATTGTTCATTACATCACGTCATATCATATTAACATAAAGAATGATAAATGTTCTACAAAAAATTTGTAGTTTGTGATTCTATTGTAATTTAAAATAAAACTTTTTCACCAAATTGTTATCTTCTTCATTCTAATCAATTAATATGAATTTAACATGTAATGTATATGCCGATATGTACAAGGTGTGTGGTTTCTGTAATGGAAATGTTAACAGGTCATCAACAGAATATCGAGTATATTATTGTAAATGCATTTCGCAGATTCGATCAATGTACATGAAGCTCGTTTGTTCTAAAAAAATGTTAACATACTGAATTGGTATTACAAAAATTGATTAAAGAGATAAGAAGTTGTGCATTATTACAATGTTGTGTGAAAATTATGTTTTAGAATACTGTTTTGTTTGGTTTATATGTAGCTGCATAATCTCATAAAGATTATATTATAACTTTTGTTGTAAATTTATATTATTTTCTGAATTAAATTTCCTTCAATTTCTGCTTATCATAAATCATAAGTTTAAGTTTTTTTGTGGTATTATAATTTGTTGAAACAATAAACACAATAAGGATCTACCAAACTATGTAAGACCATGAGCTTTATATTGAGTCTATAAACCAAACATTTGTTATTGTTTCAAAATTTAATATTTTGTATTTTTCAATATTAAAATAGATATGAAAATTTCTGTTTTATGAAACAAATTTTATAGTTAATATATAATTAAAAAAAAAATTGGTCATCATTGTTCGGAAAGCGCTATCAAAATATTGAAAATGTAGAGAGCACATTGTTGTCAAAATATCCTCTCTATCATACCTTTGTCACTGTTGTAGAATCGGACCTCGTCCAAATAGTCCGAACCGCGGCTGCAACAAAAGGATCGCGTTTTCGGGGGGCGCTCGCTCCGGTTGGCCGCTCGGGGGCAGAGCGGTCCGCTGCTCGGTTCGCCCCCGAGCGACCGCTCGCGCGTACAGACGACGCCGCCAGTCGGAGAAGAGACGCCGGCCCCGTCGCAACGCCAAAAAGCTCGCGTCGTGTTTCGCACCCACGTCTACTTACGAACACGTCGTCCTCGTTAAATCATCACATGTAACAAATCCGCGTAGAATTTATTAAAATTTTAGTAACACGTTACTTTAAAAGAATTCAAAATTGCAGTTTGCTTAGTTTTCGTTGTTCTTGTCGGTCGAACATTCCGACCTGTGAAGTCGTAATCGTGGATCAACAGCGCGGTGCCGTCAATCTGGAGGCCACGTGCCCGAAACGGTAAGTTGTTGTCATTGTCGTCACGGCGCCAATAATTTTTCTTCCTATTATGTAGACGTGTTGAGCGAAAAGCTAGTTTATACGTTTGGTGACATTTATTTTCTACCCACGATGTGTTCTTGTTAACCAAAACCGTAGTCCTATCTATCTTTTAGTTCTACTTTAAAAAAAATTTGATAAATTTATCCAATTAGAGTTATGATGGACTAATTGATACGTGTTGAAAAATTCCATCATGTCAAGAATGGTTTATGCAAGAGTAATGGAATTTGTAGAGGAAAAGTTTTGTTTAACTTTTCCTTATAGCTGTGTGGAAATTAATTGCTTAAGATGGTCTTAACGGGTTTGATGAATACTTTCGAAACAACATAGAAATCTAGAGTATTTATGGCTACTTCTGGTTAATTTGTACTGTTGATGTAAGTTATCTCCTTTTTTATGGTCATTCCAAATTTTATTTCCCAAAGTTTTCTCCAACAATTTTGTGTTACAATAAAACTGTATTATAATCAATTTTCATTTATATCTTTGCCAACGGCTATATCCGTGTTGGATTCATCTAGTACAGTTTTTTCCCATTTATTCCACAGATCACCAACCCATTTATTTAGTTAAGTATGCTTCATGATTCAGTGTGTGCAAGACTCTAAACTACTTCATTGATATCATTCACAGCATCTTTAGGATATACAGATTGATTCAAGAAAAATTTTAAAAGATTAGTTTTTAGTGAATTCGAGTCGGGTTTTCTTTGTACAAAAAAGTATTAAAAAAGGAAACTTGTTAAATGGCTTTAAAAATAAAGCAAACTCAGTAGAATTAGATAAGGTAACATCATATCGCAGTACAATTAAAAACGTTCGAGATTCTCAAGACTACCATATTTTACAATAAAAATTCGTCATGGCTTACATCAAAAATTTAATTTTCTGGTTGTTCAAATAAGCTGTAGAGGACGAAAATTGCAGAGAAAGGCCAACAATTTCATTTGTATGCTCTAGAATATTTCAATATATTGTTACTTTGTTATTATTTGGATAACTTGATAAATTATTGTTTGGATAAATATATTATTCTAACATCATAAAAATTTATTAGATGTGTCTCAAATTTATTTTGGACTTTTACTCGAAATTTTTAATTTTTTCTACCTGAAGATTGTTATCACATTTTTTTTATATTATTATCCGACATCTTCGATTTGTTGTGAAATGTAAATTTTGATATCATCTTAAATTGAATCTAATGTTTTAAAAGTTGCAAAATTTATTTTTTGGTGTATAAAAAAATAGTCCATAGTTTAAGTAAGAACAATTTGTTGTGGTCACCATGTCTTCAGTGCTTAACAAGATACAACAAGTAGACTGACTATAAAAGTTGTATTCAGTTCATTAGGAGTTGTTAATATGATTGTTGAGATGACCATAAAATGAAAATGATTACCTTGCAAAAAGCACTCCCTTGCAGATTGAATTGTTAAAAAATTTTAAGTTATAGTCACATAAAAATTTAGTAAACATTGTCGTAGCACAGCGGAAGACAACATCGTCTTCTTGAGCTTTGGCATGGTTTATGCTATGATTCCGAATGGTGTCGTTCAAGAGAAATAAATGGTTAAAACTTTGTTATTTGCCTAAGTCCACAGTATAAGGCCATTTATAATGCTCATTAAAATCATGTTATTCTTATTAAAAAGAGCGAAAATCTTTCACTATCAATTTTAGGTAGATTTAATAATGTGCAGAGGCAAATACTCTATCGGGGCATCACCGTTAATCAACCTAGGTACATACACGCATGAACTAAGTTTTCGCGCAGTATAATCACAAACAGAGTATCTTGTGCGTAGCATTTAAGCACCTTCGGGGAGACTAACTTTACGTCTTCATGCACAAACTTCCAGTGACTTACTGCTCTTCAGTGTCTAATCACATTCGGAGAATATTCGGTAACACAGCCAAATTACATTTCCCTCCAGACAACTCCTTGATTTATAGATCCTTTCTTTTGTTCAGTTGCGATCCAGGATTCATCTAGCGCGGATGCAAATAGACCATGTATCCACCCCCGCAGTTAAAGAGACGTGACACTTCTAAGTACCACAGCATTCCGCTAGGATCTCTTGCTAGGCTTATAACATAAACATAGCCATCTTTCATAACATAACGGAATGAACTGACCATTACAGTCTCTGACAGGGTTAGCCATTTTACCCGTGTTTGCTTGATTTTTTTAACTATGACATTCAGAGGACTGACCAAACATGCTTCTGTCCCGTTGCCATTAACGGAGTACCTAGACATAGCCCTCAATCTCCTCTGCTATGTTTAACACTATGTATATTCCCGAGTACTTTACCCCAGAGTACAACTACATCCCGTGGTGTTTTTTTGGATTCTAGGCAAGGCAGCAGGGCGGTACCGTCTCTAGTTCCAATCATGATATTTGTTGTTGTGGTCGATACGACAACGCACTGCATATGCCAGGTGAGACCTTGGCGACACGTCTGCCCCTTTCTAAAGGGAACCAATAGAAAGAACGGATGAATTCTCGGATCGACCACAACAACACATACTTCTCCATCCATGAAGCAGTACACATTAGCAATCATGATATTATCTGATGAAGTAGCTAAACTCAACTTCTAGGTTTTAAATGAAAGCACCTATTTATGGAAACGCACCAACCAAATAATACCTCAATTTCAATACAAGAATCTTGGTCCGCACTGCTGTCTGCGTCCGTTTTCTCGGAAATGATGCAATCTTCTTGCCTGGAAGGAAACTGCTGGTTTCCTGCTATAGGACTTGGAATAATAACATTCTTGGTAAACTCCATTATAGTTTCAAACTTCCAAAAATCAACAGCTCACACTCGATATCGTCTTACCGTTCTTCCTCTGGGATCCATATAAACAAAATGACCTTTTCTCTACATCGTTCAAATTATGATTATAATCAATTACAGCCTTGGATAGGATACGTAGTCTTAGGACATTAAACTTGCACTCTGCTACTCAATTTTGCATTCCCGATCATAGTAGTTTGAATCTACCGCGTTTTGTTTATAATTGAATTTTGAAGGATTTTCGACCAGTAACATGATAGTAGTGAAATTGTCAGCCTATTACAGCCTATAAGCAATTCATAATGGGAAGAACATTCATAAAATACTTGTTAGTCATCTTGCTATTTGTGTAATGCTGTATATTTTCGATAACAGTTTACTTATTAACTGAAACAATGACACGCAATGAACTTTAACACTTTGTATATAGAGGATTTTAAGTTTTTCATTACAATGGCTTTTCATTTATTCTTTATTTCTTACTGTTACTTTCATTATTCTGCTGAAGATGAAGCTTTTTGACAAATAACGACAAGTTTAAAGTTGTTCTGCTTCACACTTCACTCATTCCTTTTCTTTAGACTTTATTGACTTCAAAAAGCGCAAAGTAAGATGCTTGTATTGTCAAAATGCATTAGCTTCATTAAAAATGCATTCATTAGCCGTCGAAAAGTGTTGCCTTCTCATTGCTCATAATTTTCAATTGGCTATTAAATAATGACGTTTTCAAGAAATAAATCGGTCTTATCATACAATGAGTAATAAAAATGTAATAGAATCTTTAAGTCATCTCTATCAATAGAAAGTAGTTATCTCTAACTACTTTCTTGGTGAGTTCTCTTCGGTAAAACCCAAGCTAAAATCAGTTTCTCTCTATAGCACTGTCTTTTACCAGTTTTGACTCTCTACTTTCAGTGTTTCTGAACTTTTTGAACAGTGGACAATGAAGGCTGGAGTTACTTGAACTAAAATTAATTTGAAACATATTTCTCTATTAAGATTTGATCGAGAAGTATACAGACACCACTGATACGACCTTTATTTGATGTTGAAGTATCTGCAAGATTTTAGTCTACTAAGTGACCTGGATGTTTTGACACCCTCTAACACACCAGGAAGATTTAAATAGATTATTTAAGTTGTTGACAAACCTTATTGGTTCTGCTCAAATACTACTTGTGTTTTTTAACGATTTTGCAAGAATTTAAGGCTTTTATTAACAGTAAAATTCCCGAATATTGTCATCAACGGCCGGTGTTAAAATTAAACTAGAACTAGAACTGAAGTAAGAAACACTTCGAACTTGTTTCTGAAGAAGGTTGCAACATGGCAATCGAAACGTCAAAAATTTTTTTGAAAAAACGCACGCCTTAACCCGAAAGTTTCTAGTTCTAGGTTTAGTATTAGTTCTAGTGATAGTGCTAGTGTTAGTTCTAGTTATAGTTTAATTGTAATCCAAAATTGCCAAACCCACTCCACCAGAGTGAAGTTTTAAAACCGTTATTTGATAATAATTCAGGTCCTATTAAAAAATATACTCTTTTTAAATCTGCGTAATTCCATCGACATGTTAACTAATTGAAAACGATGCGTTTACTAACAAAATCGATACGTCAGCTCGCGTTCGCCTTGGTCAGCAAGTACTGTCACGTTCCGATGCAAGTCGAAACGTATTGCCATACTCCTAGAAATACGAAATTTTATTTAGAATTATTGTTTGCATCAAAAAAAAAATTAAAAAGGGAAAAAAGAGTTTTCTTTGAGACACGTTTTGTCATCTAAATGTTGTAGCTTTTGTAGTCTATGGGCTTTAGAGGTAATAATAATAAGTCGGAAATAAAATATTTTTATTAAGATTATTATTCATAAAAACTCACCTTAATTTTTTAGTCCCCAATCCTATGACATTTACTTTCCGTAACTTTCTCTAACTTGTAGTTAGTTCCGCATTCATTTACAAACTTTTGGCTATAAATTGAATATTGTTGTAAATACAAAGTAAAGTTTATAATTAAATGTAAATCTAATGGCATATTACAAAGTGCTACTGATTAATTACGTAGAATTGTAGTCAGGTTTAATTACAACGTTTCACGCAACTGGCACTAAATAATAATGAAACTGAAACAAAAAAACTATTAAGTAATAAATTA